CCAGGCATGCTAAAACATACCTCTTGCAGAGTCTTTTTGTCAATAGCCATGGATGGAGACATGTTAATCAAAAAAAAAAGCTAGCAAAGCAGCTTTAACCTAAAATGATTTCGATAGACTAGAATTGGAGAGCATACAATAAACCCTCTCCATTATCATTATATTCATTCGCTCAGCAACACCATTTGGTTGTGCCATATGACAAACTATCAAGTGCCTCACAATCCCTTCTTTCTTGTATAACTTATTCAATTCATCACAATGGAAATCTAAGCCATTATCAGTACAGAGGTGTTTAACTTGCCTTTCAGTCTGTTTCTCAATCATTATCTTTCAATTCTTGAATGTGGCTATCACATCACTCAAACTACTTTAGGAAGAAAGACTAAAACTTTTAGGAATAGTCATCAATGATTGTTAACATATAGTTTGCGCTTCTATGAGAGGTACTCTAAACAGACCCCATATATCAAAATGAATGTTATCTAATGTACCCTTCGTGTTATGGATTCCTTTGGCAAAACATACTCTCATTTTTTTCCAAACATGCAATGTTCGTAGAATGATAGCTTACAAATTCCTTGACCATCATCAACTCTGTCATGGCAATTTTGCTCATATACCCCCAGGCGCATATGCCAAAGTCTAGTTACATATTCCTCTAACAGCGCGAATGATGCAACAACAAAATCACCAGTAATCATAGACCCTTGGAGAATTTACAACCTTCTGTTCTTTCTATCTACCTTCATCACAATAAGTGAACCCTTTCTAACCTTCAAAACTCCATCTCAGCGGAGTACTTATACTCTTTTTTATCGAGGGTACTTAGTGATATTAGGTTACACTTCAAATATGGAGCGTGACGAACATCATTCAATGTTCTAACAATGTTATCATGCATATAAACTCTGAAACTGCCAACACCTACAATCTTACATGATGCATTTTTACCCATCAATGTAACACCTAATGACACAAATTCATAGGGTGCAAACCAAAGTCAAGGATCCACTTCTCACTCGCCTTCGTAATATTGTCAGAAGCTACTAGGAGTTTACCCTTAACATCTTATTTAACATCTGCAACACCAGATCTCTTTGTAGATTGTTCTTCAGCCTCTCTCTTTATCTTAATCTGAAACTTATAACACTCTATTTTAATATGACATTTTTTTTACAAAAGCGACAAGTTTTACCTCTGTTAGAAGATTTTGATCTACCCATTTCTTTACCACCAGAAGAATACTCGCCTTTTCTTCCATGGTCTAAGCTAGTCAATCCATGTGCCACCAGACCCTCTGTCTGAGACTCACAACCATAAACAGATGCTTCATCTTGTCGAATGAGTACAAGCCATTGTACACCGCTTTAAAAGTTAGTGTTTCACGGCTGTACAAAATTATGTCTTTGAAAGATGAGTAGAAATGAGTCAGTGAACATAAGAGGATTAGTCTTAAGTTTTCTTGGTAATGCTTCTCTTCTAAAGTCTATAGATCAGAGACAATTTTCTTGAATATGGTTAGGTGCTCTTCAAGAGACGAACCTTCTAACAACTTGAGTGAATAAAGTCACTGCTTTAAGTGCAACTTACTGGTTAATGATTTTCGCATGCACAGTTGCTCTAACTTGACTCACAACGAAGCAGTTGTCTGCTCCTTCAAGACATCTTACAAAATCTAATTTTTGTATGTGTAAATGAATATGTGAAAAAGCTTTATGATCCTTACACTTTTCATCATTCTTCTATTGTGTTATCAACTTCTTATTAAATCCTTCTATTGTATCATCAAGATCTAATTGTGGAAGAACATCTTGAATCTTCACCGGCATATAGGGAACCTAGTGTGTTGATCTAACAGTAGAATATCATACTTCATTGTTACCATAATCTTAAACCCGAAGCTTTTATAACAATTTGTTATAATATCGAAACGATTATCGGTAAACAAATAAACATAATTAGAAAACAAAACAAAAACAAAGAACACCAAGAATTATGTGGAAAACTCAAAATGAAAAAACACGAATAGAGGAGAAAATTTTCACTAATATGAAGGAAGAAAATACAAAAGGTGAGAAAGAAAAACCCTTTGTATCTATTTATAGGGATAAATACTTGATTACAAAGGAAACTAAATAAAGTAAAAGTTACTTTATAAAAAGCTAATTTAATAAAGTTCTTTGCTTTAGTAAATTTATATACTTTTAATCAAACTAAGTTTATTAATTTCTTAATTAAATTGTGCCACTTTGAATTCGGGTCAAACTTTAACAATATTATTTTTTTGAGTTATTCGCAAGCTTTTCAAATCGTACATCAAGTAACTTGCTTCGAATTGTTAAGAACTCGAGTTGAATTCGAGCTTGAATCGAGTATATTCGATTCGAATGTTAACTGAACTTTGATCGAGTCAAACTCAAGTAACTCAGGATATGTCACGTCTCATTTACAACCCTACCTTTAACATATTTTTTTTTTAAAAATCAATATTTTGAGTTTTCATTGAATCAATATATTTTATGTTTAATAGAGTCATTTGAGTAGTAATAAAAAGCCCTGGTCTGTGGAGGACACTGATAATGTTGTTAAGATTCATGAACTTGCTGCAATCTATTCACTAAGGTTCTCTGTTCGACCAATAGTTTCTCATATCAATATTTTAATAAAATATACTTTAATTTGTAATATAATTATATATGAAAATGCATTATCTTTTAGGATTAGATTTACTATTTTATTAGGAGTTAAGATAGAGTTTTATTATTTTATTCATTAATTACTTAGGATTCATGTTAACTCCTCACCTACATAAACGAGACTCCATTCCCATTGTAAATCACATCTTTATTGAATAACAATACAACGTGAGTAAGTTTTTGCATGTATTGATAGCCTTGTGCTTTTGAATCATTCTTTATCACTTAGTTCTTCATGTTCTTCGTAAATGAGATCTCAACGCTCCGGTTTGCCTCTTAATTATGATTAAGAGGCCTCTTAATTATGATTAAGAGGCCTCTTAATTATGATTAAGAGGGCTGGTTATAGTCAATTATCGAGTTTGCCTAGTTAATTTCGGCTAGAAAGGTTCAGAAGACATCAATTTATCTTCATCATCATCACCATCACCATCACCATACATACTATAGGAATCTTCAATTCGAGTTCTTTCATTATTTTATTTATCTTTTCGTAATTCGTTTTACATATATATTCATCATAGTGGTCACATTATCTTTCTAATGTTCACTTTCTTGTTTGATTCTGTGTTAGTAACGTTTTTTAGCTAAAAAATTCTAATTTGGCTAAGTGTTTCTATCTTTATACGCTTGTTTATCTTTTTTTTTATCCTTTTTGTTAGTTTCCATTGTCTTGTTCATCACATATTGTTCTTGTTTGAAATTTCCAATTCAATCAATAATCCTAAGGGGCTTTGTGTTAACTCTTAAATTGCCTAAGGGAGTTCTTCTTTCATCTTTCATCGATTCTTGTTATTTCGTTTGTTTGATTCATTCTTCATTGTTCTTTTCATTCAATTATTGTTCTTGCTTCATCATTAAACTAATCAATATCTTCTTGTTTGATTTCTAGCAACTTTACCCATAAAGAACCCTAAACCATCTTTAGTTTGTTCTTTGATTGAGTCTAGAGCCTTAGGCTTAATTCTTCAACTTCGAACAACATTCATCACTCCATTATCATCTCCTATCACCATGTAAATGTTGTTATTCGAACTCAGGACTTCTAAAGAGAACACCATCTCTTTTATCATTTAAATCGTTTAGTGGGCTCATTTCTTTAATTCTTTATAAGCATAAATCACTGTGCTTTATCTTGAGACATATTGGACAGTAAGAATGATGATTAAAATCGCAAATAGCAAAAATAGTAAAGAAAATTCAGATCAAAATAGTAAAGCAGCCTGTGGGTTTCACTGCGCTTTAGCTTGGATTGTGAATGAAATTAGTCAAAATTCAGAACCCTTCAAAATAGTAAAGAAATCATATTCCTTCTTTACTCATCCACTTTAAATCAAATGATCATGTCTCCATGTTTTTTTTTATTATTATCTAACCTTCTGATTTAAATCTATGTGGATATGATTCTTAATCATTTATGAATTTAAATAATGCTGATTTAAAGTTGAGGCACGATTCATTTTTGTTAAATGTTCAATGTATAACATGATGATTCATGTGTGGGGAATCTCCCAAAATCTTAATGCAAATTTTAAATTACAAAACAATTATGGGTCCTGATTCCATCTCCTAAATAAGTTCTAATATTTTTTTTTTATCTTTATTCATATTTTTTTTAAAAAAAATATTCAAAATTCTAAGAATATGTATAACATTTCACGTAATTGATTCCTAATCCTTTTATCATATTTAAAACACAAATCTTTAAAATTATCCAAATTTAATCTCTAAAATCATATTAAACTCTAAGATTCTGTAAGTATTTAATCATAATTAACTCAAAACGATCGATAATATGAGATTCTATAAGCATACTTTAACCCATAACAATCGCTAGTATTTAACCATACTTAACCCATAACGATGGATAAAGACTACCGTTTTCAAAATGCGAACACCCTTCATAATTATTTCGCTATTTGTTTGTAGTTTTGTAGTCATGTCCACTGGGATAATATATGACTATTAAGCAATGATAACTAAAAGTAGACGAAGAATTAGAAGGGCTTTTTTGCTTCAATAATTCTCTGTTTCAAGTCATTTTAAGGATTTGACCATAGATGAGAAATCACTCATCGTTCCCAAAACAATGAGAAACTTCGTTACTCGAGAAATGCAAATAGCCATTAAAGTTTACATCTAAAATTTTGATTTTGCAGATCGTCAAAGCTAGTTTCCATGACGGAGCTCTACGCTTCCGCTCTTCAGACTCAGACAGAGACTACAATATCAAGTCAATTGCATGAATGCAGGATAATGTCATAAGCTGGCTCGCTGTTTTGTACAACATAACATTCTCCAAAAGCAATATAACCATTTATTTTTCATACTAAGATAGCAAGTCTTCTATACATAAATTTCAAGAGTCTCGTTACATCATTCTACAGTATAACAAGTCCAGTAGTCCATTTAGTTCCTGCAAAAAAGAACTGAAAATTGAAGAGAAGAATCATGCTTTTATTAACAGTTATGTTGTGTACGCATTGCAGATGGCTCACATCCACCTCCGGCTTCTACCTCTTCGTGACACGAGATAAATACGACATATACCATTTTCTCCCAAGTCTAGACACAGATTGCTGCAAAACCAGAGTGCAGGTCAACAACCCAGCAAAATAGCTGATAGTTTCACCATTGATATTCCCTATACATAGTAATTTATGATATGTAATCATACAAAATATTATGAAAACAAAGACTAAAAAAGAATGCTGATTCATCTGATTTAAACACTAAAAATAACTAGGAAACATATAAATAAATCCTGTAAAACTTAAGATGTTATGATATATAAGCAGTTTCTATTAAGGCATTTCTAAGAAAGCACCCACAAAACTCACCCGCCCAATTTAAATAAGTTAAAGAACAGTACTAGAAAGTACCATTCAGGTATCAATGTAAGCAGGCTACATTACCTCAGTCTTAGCACCAAACTCTAGAGTGCTGTCACAGACATGACACTCTGCTCTCTGTGGGGAACCATTGAATTTTTCAGATTTCACAAATGCAAATACCTACAAGAAAAATGATAAATCAGTTAAGACTAACAGGAAGCCTATCAGTGGTTACTTTTGTAAGAGAAGCTACTAATGACTAGGTTAAAAGAAAAAAAGGATATGGTGCTTTCTGATTTCTGAAACAAAATAAACGCAAGATAAAAAATTGTTAGGATTCACCTCCCACAATTAGGGCATGCCCCCTTCAGAGCTAACCAAATCATTTCTCCACAGTCTTTGAAGCACCCGAACTGAAGAAAGTATGAATTAGAGTGATTCCAAAGTAGCAGTCAAAAGCCAACATATCAATTTGTTAGAACTCTTACCAGCAGCTGATGCAAGTGGATAGCCAGTCACGAACCAATGCCCATAAAGAGAATGCCATTAACAGTGGAAGAAACTCTAAGTGGCTGCTTGGCTGTCATAGGGCATATCTGAACTGAATGGTTCTTGATATGCTAGACTAATTGTGTAAATGATAGGCACAAGGCACAAAGTACAGCCAAATGCAAAATCAGGATCCATATGCTCGCTAATGCCAACTTTGCGACAAATCTTCCTGCCCTACATCCAAGAAAAGCTCATATTCAACCAGAACAAGCACGAATAAAAGGAAATCTTCCTACCCTAGTAACTCATTTAGCATATAGACGTATCATATAAGACCTTACCACATCAGATATAGTAAAGATAAAAAAATCAGGGAGCAACATAATATAAATGGGTTTGTTTTCTTTTTTACTTGTATTAGGCTTAACCAGATATAAGTAACGTGAACCTAGAGCTGAATTGGGACATACGTAAAGCATTGAACAGGCATAAGAACCAACAATGATATGTAGAACAAATACATAATACAAAAAAGAATTACCTCTGCATCTGCATAAGTAGAATGTCGCCTTATACTGCATCGAGGGTACTTAACAACGGATTTAGAACCATACCTACGTAGCTTTAACTGTATATAAAAGCAAAAACATTACTATGCATCAGTCAAAATTAAATTAGGGAAAATTAGTTGGCTGATAAAAAATACTCAAAATTTACACAAAGTTAGTTACCTCTACTCTATCAAACATGTCATCAACAATCAAAGGCTGCCCACTGTAATATGCATCTCGTGCCTAATAATTTCCAAAAACAGTTTGTAATTAGTTCAGTGAACAATTGCTTATTTTTTTAAATAAGAGAAATTAAGTTAGGTTTCTTACTTGGCAATAGAGGGCCTCTAAGGTTTCTTGACTGGCGGTTTCGGGGCCAACGAACAGGCAAGATGGACCTTCCTCCTTGGCGGCGGTGAAACCCTGGCTCTCGCTGGCGGAGAAACCCGAGACGCGAACGAGAACGACGGTTGTTTGGTCCGGAGTAAGGGTGGGTTTACGACGGAGGAACCTCCGATGAAGCGAGGTCTAATAGAGTGGACATGCCAGCCATGAAAAGGTGGCGGGTATATTACAACTGCCGTGGCAAGGCAGACATTTGGCGTGTTGAAACCGGAAACTGGAAATTTTTGAGACCACGAAAGGGGGGGAATGAAGGATTGGCTTGGCTTGTAAGTTGTAAGGATCTTGAAAGGGATTTGAGGCAAATTTTATGGCTTGAGGCTGTGAATGGTTTTTGTTTTGGGAGAGCTTAATATCTGCTCCACTGGCTCTTATATATAGGATAAACTGCGTCAGATGCCACCAAACTTTAGTCGTTATATTGTTATATCATTTAACTTTCAATTTTATCAATTATAACATTAAATTTCATTTCTGTTTCAATTATACAATTGAAATTGTTAAATCTTTAAGGGCACGATGACGTAACCAATTGTAAATAATTTAATAACCCAATGACATAATTAAAACGAAAATAAAAATTTAGTACTATAATAGATAAAATTAAAATTTTAATGGTATTAACAAGACAATGCCTCACTCTTTCGTCGTAGTTTGGATTGTTATGTCCAAGAAAAGTAAAAAGGGTAAATTACACATTTGATCCTTATATTCTGGCTCCATCGATTTTGATCATCACTTTAAAAAAAGATCAGACTTGCTCCCTATATTTTCGATTTATATATTTTGATCTCTCGACCGAGAACTCTAGTTAACCAATAACAAAAGTATAACTTGGCGTTTAAAAAAAAAATAAAAACAACATGAGTAACCTGGTTGGCCCAATGGATGTATCATCCTTGACCTGGGTTTGAGCCTTACCCAGTGCATTTCTCTCATTCTAATTAAATGTATAACATCTAGTCGCCATTAATTGAAAAATAGCAATCAATCAAATAAATAAGAAGACCGTTTGGGTCGTGGTATTAAATTGAGGCCGCAACGCAGTGTAACGACCGCATTGTAATGGTTTTGAAGGCCCGCGATACAATATTATAGCAATGCAACCGTCCGCACAGCCGCAATATGTAAAATCTAGTTATGGATGCTACGGACGTTACGTAACGTGTTGCGGCTGTAGCTGGCGTAATTTTTTAAAATGTTACGGTTGTCGCGGGTGGTTGCGTTGCTATAATATTGCTTCGCGGTGGCCTTTAAAACCGTTACGATGCGGCCGTTACACTGTTGCTTCTCCTTCAAGTTTCTTATGCTAATACATCACCACCACTTGACATTAACGAGCTAGAACTGAAAGGAAAAAGCTGCATCTCATCCTTGAAGGCCCTTCATTTTTACCTTATTGCTTTTCGGATTCATGTGCCGTGTTCCAAGTTTTCTGAGTAGAAAGGATCCCATTCATGGCCTCCCAGTTTCCCAAATGAAGTACTTCCAAGACTTCGTGTTCAGGGAATTCGGAATTCACTTCTTTCCCATCTTTCTTTTTCTTCCTAATCGTTTCGACTCTGTCAACACCCCTTAATTGTGAGGTCGAATGCATCTTCAATTGTTTCCAATCGAGCAGGGTTGCATAGATCACATTCGGGATCGGTTTATGACCTCGTCCCTCTTGCTTCTCTTTTCTCTCTTGGGATCTTTGCAATAGTTTTTCGATGTTGGTGTCGCCGGATTTAACCACACTGGCTGGTATCAACACCGAGTATTGTGTATAATCCTTGGGGAAATGCCATATATATTGAACATACGCTGAACCTGGATGGAAGAAAACTGGAATGCAACCGGCCAATATCGAATCGAATATTGACCTCATGGGTGTAGTAATCCCCTGGAGGTAAGCAAAGATGGAACTTTGAAACAACTTCATCAAATTGTCTGCCTTGTGCACCTCTGGCTTTGATCACATTCTAGGAACCTTCATTTCTTCCTTGAAGCTAATCACTGATCAATAATTTCGTTGCGGATTGACTCGTTCTGGATTAGGCCTTCGTGCACCTGCGAAGAAAACAGCAACCGCCTCTTCAGTCTTCTCATTCTGTCTGCCATTGAAACACATCATCACTCTTTTGAAGGGTGGAAATACGTAGGATGCAGTATTGCAAAGCGTTGTTGTTCCAAGGACTTGACTCGATCACCAGCATCGTCATGTTCTTCGATTCAGGGAAATTCAGGAGTCCGTTCCCTCAATCAGACACATTTTTGGGTCCCTCCTAAAATTGATTCATCCAGCAACCAAGAAATGATCTCGACCCCACATTTTTGTCCATTCAGGTCTACCTGCAAACCACTTGACAAGCTCAACCGCATCATGGTCTCTCTAAAACCAGTAGGGTCCCAAAGGTACGACCAACATCAAGGCCTGCATAGTATGGAACATAGATTGCCGAAGCCAAATACGATCATTAATTAAACACTTATACTGCTTCATCCTGTTGTGAAAAATAACTTCTAACAAGAATGGTTCGTCGAAAACCAGCCCGTTTCGAATAATCTTTTCATTTCTTGGAAGAGGGGAGCCTAAGCCTAGGTTTAATGCAGACACACATCTGTCCATGCACCAAGTGACTTGAGTTATCCAGCTAGTCTTGGTTAAATTTCCTGGGGATGTCATGAATGAATATGATCGACCCGAACAGGATGATGGAACAGGTTCGGGTTTTACCACATTATGTGACTTTGGTTCCGGAACAACTTTGTTCACCTTTGTCCTTGTGATTTTGGCTAAAGAAGCGGCGGCGGCGGGTTTAATCCTGCTTCATCCCCTGCTACGCCTGGCTCTTTCCCTCCTGCCTCGGTTGCCATTGCATTTCTCAATTCTCCTTCAAGCAGTTTGCCACTTATTGTTTCAAACGTTTCGGTTTCATTATTTTCAGACATCAACGAAGCAATTAACTGATCAATATCGATATCCCTGTCGATGTAGAACTTAATAGGCTTTCTTTTGTTTCCGGTTTCTTCAATGGCTTTTTCTACATTGTCTTCAATCTTAACAGTTTTAACATGAGAAGAGTTCGTCCCTGCTTCATCTTTAGCAACATGATCATGTAAAGACTCTGATGAACTGATGAAACCAGTTCGATTGTTGCCTAGGAAACCATCTGCCCTTTTCACAAATGTTACAGACGAAGAATACAGGTAAACAGTGTGAACCATATAAAAAGAGATCAAAACAATGTACGAAGATTGGCTTCTGCAAGGATATTTTACAGTCATTGGCTTCTCCATTAACGTTTTACTGATCATACAGTTGTATGTATATGATTCATGCAGAAACAAAACACAGTAACGGTAAAGAAAACCTGGGAAATCATCCAAAAGGAAAGCAATGCTGGAATTTCTGCTGGGGAAAATGAGAGAAAATGGAAGCTGTTTGAACCATTCAAGATCTTTGATCAAATGATTTCTAGTTGATCATAATGGTCAAATCTATATTAAAAACTGTGTATCTGATGAGAGATTGCCTTAATGGATGGCGATCACTTTAGTATTTCGAAACGAAGTTCTTGAAAATGTCACTGTCGCTGAAATTTTCCCCGACAATCTTGGTTGGAATGACATTTGCTCATATAAAATTGGCAAGAAAAAAAGATACACTGGAGCTTCTGTTCTTTTGAAAAAAAAATAATATGTTCCTAATATTATTTTTCTTTCAACGTGATTCTCTAATTCAAAAATAAATATAATGTGACTATTTGACCACGTTTTTCATCGTTGACCATTATACTAATATGGTAGTTCACGGTGCTGACAACAATCCACAATGTTGACATGACAGTCCACATGTAGATTAACGTGGCGGTGACATGGTAGACTGACTAAATTGGTAACTCAACAAGGTGATAAACTGCCATGTTAGCACCGTGGATCGCTACATCAACATCGTGAATTGGCACACCAATACTATAACTGTCACAACAACTAAAAAACGTTGATCAAATGATCACATTGGATTTGTTTTATGAGTTGAAATGTCACATTCAAAGAAAAATATACGAGAATCACATTAATTTTTTTTTAAATATACGACCTCTTTTTGCCTATACAATTTGCACCATCGGCCTAAAACTCATGTTGACTGTTTCCTTTCTATTTAGATCCGATCTGATTTGAGATATGCAAAAAATGTTCAAATTTAATATGATCATGTAAAATTAAATTGGACAAGATAAATTCATTTTCTTTAGATCCAAACATCAAATGGTAATGATAAGGTAAATTAAAGTTTCAAAGAGAGTACTTAGGTTGGGTCTCGATCCAAAATTTAGAATTAATAATATCCGTATGTTGATTCCAATTAAGATAAATGAGTAGTGGATTAATTAGAATAATGAGCCAAGATTAGGGTTAATGGATGAGATTTGGACCCATAATAAGTTAAAAAGATGATTTTTTTTTATTAAAAATAAGAGTTGGGGACTTGGAGGGCAGTTTACCGAGTTGTAGGAAACTGGTTGCACACCAAGTTGTCCCAACACTAGAGTTCTAAACGAATTGGAGTCGAGTTTGAAGCTCGAGTCGACTTGAAAATTTTAAAGTTGAGCTCGAATTGATTCGAAAACTCACGAGTTTAAAACTTTCAAGCTTGACTCGAAATCAAAAATTGAAGCTCGACTCGAGTTTGAAAATATTTTAACTCAAAACGTCTTAGACTTAATTCGATTGAAGCTCAAATTCAAGCTCGGTTCATGCTCAAACCTAAACTTTAAATACATGAAGACCTTATATTGAATTTAAAAATAACAACATAAACTTGAAATACATGAGACCTTATATTGAATTTAAAAAGAACAACATATAAACGTTAATATTATCAATAATTTATTTTAAATTTTAATATATTATTTTTTTCATGTAAGAAGTTCGCTTCGACTTGTTAAAATATCGAGTTGAGTCCATTCCTTTTTGATGTTAAACTCAAATAACTGATGATCAATCTCGTCTCATATACAATCGTACCCAACACCACTTAGGCGTGAGCTTAAGAGAGACAAAAAGAGGAGTGAACTCTATTTGTGATCTCCTTCAGCTTTCTCCGTCGCTCAGCGTCCTCATTTCCTCTCAAGAGAGTTTGAGCACTAAAGGAGAAAAAAAATTCTCATCCAATTGGAGAAACCTGAAAGGAAAAAGAGAAGAGCAAGTTGATTGAGAAATAGTTTAGAGGCTCTTGCTGTTGAACTTATAAGGTGAGCCTTTTTTTCGTGTAGATTATTATGAGGGATCGCCTTCTGATATTGATAAAAATTCATCTGATGATCCTTCTAGCCATCTTTGTGGCTCAACCTATTACCAAAGATCTTATTGTTGGTTATTAGATGCTTTTACTGATGATACTTTTGGTACACATTGAAATCTCTATTTGCTTCTCCTGTGTGAATAAATGATCTTCTACTTACAGAATGGCCAAAGCATAACGACAGTATTCCTGCACTGCCTAGCATGGGCCAAGCATTTCAGCACCCATGATTCCATTAGGCAAACAACAAACTCAAGCGCAAATCCAATGAGAGAAACCTCGGATGGGGAAGATTATGCGAAAAAAATAGTTTCCAATATCCAATAATGCATGCCAAAATTGTTGGAAGAATATATCATTACGCGAAACTATATCAGAGAAGAAAAAATCTAGAAACAACCAATAAGTTCATACACTATAAACACCTGTTTTAAGCTGTTGTATCCGAAACCGAAGGTAAACGGCAAAAACCGAAACATCAAAAAATAGATAATGGTGTTCCGCGATCGGAAATGGCGGTACCTTCCGCGTGATATCAAGAAAGGGTGAAACTAATATATCAGCAGAGTGCACTCACCTTACAAGACTACACAATGCTTCAAACGAATTGAAGAGGTGAAGATCCACTCTAGGCATGATCGTAATGATGCAACTTGTATAATAGTACTTTGCCAGCAGTATTTCCAACTGCCAGGAAACCGCCACAGGGACTGAAATCCAGACAGCGAGGATAATGTAAGTTCTTATTTGGTGGAGGCCAGTTAGAGTATACCGTAAACGATGGGACATGCATCAGTTTCAAACTGTTTTTCTTCATGATAGAACAGATGGCCAGTATTTGAGCATCACTATTGAACTTCATAAAATCGACTTTGGTGGTTAAATTCTCGACAGTCTTGATCGGTTTTCTTTTCCTCCCAAAATTCATCCCTGTTGTATATGTTCACTATCCCACTGTCGGATCCAGCTGCAAACATTCTTCCATTTGGCGATGTACAAAGAGCCGTACCATTAATGCAGCCTTCATCAACAGCCTTATGGAAGCATGTTCTCGTTCTCAAGTCCCAATGGTAGACCTCT